GTTTTATAAGAAGAGGAAGAGAGACCTGAGCTAGCACACTAGCACACTCAGTCCCCTCACAATGTGATAGCCTGCACCACCTCGAGACTCCGGAGAGAGTCCCCACCAGCAAGAAGGCCCTCACCAGATGCAGCCCCTCAATCTTGTACCTCTCAGCCTCCATATCTGTAAGAAATAAATACCTTTCTTTTATAAATTACCCCATTTCAGTTCTTCTGTTATAAACAACAGAAAAGGGACTAAGACAATATTCCATTTTGTGTTTTCCTTTTTCCAATAATATGCTTGTTCAGATCCATCCATATTTCTATGTATACATCGAATTCATTGCTGTTAATTGGTACCTAATACTCCATGGTGTGGGTGCACCTAGCCCTCCTTCCTCCCATCCAGCTTGCTTCCAACTCCCACAAACGAACAGCACTGTAGTGAACAGCCCCGTACAATGAACAGGTCCGTTAAGTAGCTGTGTGAGAACTACTAAGGGATATATATGTGGGAAATTGTGGGGTCACAGGATATACGTATAAATAATCTGGCAAAATAGTACCAGATTACTCTTGACGTGCTAGCTGCACAGTTCCTCCACCTCAGGATTTCTCAGCCTTGACCCTATTACCCTTTGGAGCTGGATAATTCTTGGTTGTGGGGAAATACCCTGTGGACTGTAGGATGTTTAGCAGCATTCCTGGCCTCTATCAACCGAATGCCAGTAGCACCTCCCTCCCCAGCTGTAACAATAAAAAATGTCCCCTGACACTGCCAAATACCCTCTGGGGTGGGGGAAGTCTCTGCAGTTGAGAACCATTGCTTTATCCCATTTTTGCCAAAACTTGGCATGATCCAGCTCTCTATTTTATTTTCTCTACCAGTTATTTTTAGCACCTTTTCATAGACTGACGGTCTTTAGGATTTTCTCTGTTAATTTTCCATTGAGATCACTGACCTCCTTTTGTTAATTTACAGGAGTGCCCTCTATGTTCTTGATGCTTGTGCTTTATCGGAATTGACATAGCAAACATCTTCTCCATTCTCTCAGCTAATTAACTCTATCCATCTTCACTGATAAAAATCTAAACTTTTATGTAATCAGGTTATTTTGCTTTATGGTTTGTGCTTTTGAAGTTTTATTAAGGACCTTTCTTGCCCTAAGTCACAAGCTTTTTTCCTCTATTAGCTTTACAGTTTTACCTATGACAATCTGGTCTTTAATCCATAGAACTCACCTTCTACATAGTGTGGGGTAGGAACCCACATTTACATCTCTCTGTGCAAATTCATCCACCCATATAGTGAGAATCCTTCCTTTCCCCTGCCAGTTTGTGGTGCCATTTTGATTGTAAATTAGGTTCCCAAAGACACATGGCTTTGTCCCTGAGCTCTCCATCCTGTTTCATTCCTCCAGTTGTCTGTTCTTGCATCATACCCACAAACTGAAATTCCATGGCCCTGTAACATGCTTTCATCACAGAGCAAGCCACCCCTCCCTCACTTCTTTAGTGAACTAGTTCTCTGTTTATAACTTAGAGTAATTTATCCTGTTTCTCAAGCTATCCAACTGGAATTTTTATTGAAGTTGCACTAATTCTCAGGAGGCTGAGGCAGGAGAATGGCGTGAACCCAGGAGGCGGAGCTTGCAGTGAGCCGAGATCGCATCACTGCACTCCAGCCTGGGCGACAGAGCGAGACTCCGCCTCAAAAAAAAAAGAAAAGAAAAAGAAAAAAAGTTGCACTAACTTTATGAAATGATTTGGGAAGTAACTTTTCAAATATTGTTACCCATCCAAGATTATTCAGATCTTCTTCTAATTTTTCTATTTAACTTTTAGAGTTTTCCTTAAAGAAGTCTGTGCGCTTACACTGACTCCTGGACACTGTATTTGTGCTTGTCATTATGAGGGGTATTTTTTTGTTTCTAGTTCAAATTGCTGCTTGTTAGGAACTGAATTGTCCCTCCTCCACCCCAAATTCCTTTATGTTGAAATCCTAACCCCCAATATCTCAGATGTCACTATTTGGAGTCTGGGCCATTAGACAGGTAATTAAGTTACAATGGGGTGGCTAGGGTGGGTCCTAATCCAACACGACTGATGTCCTTATAAGAAGAGATTTGGACACAGACAGCACAGACTGAGGAACAACCTTGGTGAGGACACAGCAGGAAGAGGGGCCTCAGAAACCAACCCTGCTGACATTTTTATCTCGAACTTCCAGCCTCCAGAACTGTGAGAAAATAAGCTTCTGTCGAAGCCACCCAGCCCGTGGCATTTTGTTATGCCTCCCTAGCAAACCAATGCCCTGCTCTTAATTTTAAAAGTTTATCTTATATCCAGGGTTGCCCACTTGTTTTCTACCCAAGTTTGGGTGTGATTCAGAATCACTGATTTCCTCCTAGGGAGCTCCCTCTTGGTACCCATGTTCCCAGAAAGCTGGCAAGTTCATCAGAAGACTGCCTTGGAACAAAAAACAAACTGCCAGAAAAGGCCACGAATAGTCCCACCCCGCAACAACTAGCATTCTCACACCCCCGGATTCAGCATTTTCCCTCCCTGGCTGCAAAGTGCTGAATACACCCAGGTAGGTTTGGCCTCTATGTTAGTGGCTCCTCCCTCTTGCATAGAAACACTTTTTTAAAAGATGTGTTAATAACACATACTGAGTTACTGCCAAACCTAGAAGCTTGGGAGCTATTTTGTTTCCTCTCATAATGTGTAGATAGAATCATCCAACACTGACGACCCACAAACTTCATCACAAATACTATATGCTACTAAGTCGGCAGGTGCAATTACTCACTCTCCCAGAAATCTCCAGTCCCGAAAGCAGCAAGGTCCCACTGTGCGTAAGTTAGGAGAAGTCTGCCAACCTAAGTCAGCATTTTCCACCATTTTTAGCCTTAAAAGCTTATTTAATATGGGAAATTGACATCTCCTTAATCTAAAGTTGGTAATTTACCATCTACACTTTAATGAATGGAATAGGACTGACTGGCCATATTTTATTTTGCATTTCTATTCCCCATCCTCCCACCAAAAATCAGCTTTAACTAGATGCAACATGAAAGCTTTCAGGGAGGCAGCTTTTCAGAGCCACTCACCCAATACAATAAGCTTGTCTGGAAAGCCTTGCCAACGCTTCCATTTTGCCCGAGGGCTGTGCAAGCGCCCCCCAGGACAGAGCCCACCCCTCCTGCTAGGAGCCATCATCTCCCACAAGCCTGCAGAGAGGACCGCACCAAGACTGCAAAGCAGGCTTCGGGAAGTGGCTTAAGCTAGCTTTCACTAGCACGAGCCCCTTTTTCTCTTTTGCGTTCAACTGCAGTCATCTCCACAGGCTTCCTGACACCAGCAGAGGCCCATCAGAGACACAAATAGCATTTTTTAAATGGCTTTATTAAAGGCTACGAGTATAAAATATGACTAAGTTACAAGTCGTCAGTAAGAACTTATTATTTTTGAAAACGTTAATTAAAGAAAGGGAGACCCAAAGAAAGAGAGGCTGTTCCTGACATCCACACAGAGGGTGTGGCTCAGACAGGTGACGGACCCCCACTGTTCCCAGTGGGGCTGCACCCCCAAACCCAGGGGGCCAAGGGAGGGGCCCCCAGATGAAACAGAGGCTGGTTGCTGATTTCTTGGGGGAACTTTTGTAAAAATGAAGACGCTGAATCCTTGAGCTGAATCCCAGGTGCAGAGACCGGGGGGAGGTGGAGAATCCAAAATCATGCTCCGGTTTCTCCTGAAAAGTGTGTATTTTCTAAAAAATAAATATAAACTCCTGGATTTAGAAACTCCCTCCTGATGCATGGGAGGAAAAACATGGCAAATGTAGAGCTAAGAAACCATCTTTGCATAGACTTTGCCCAAGGTGCAGAGGAAGATCTGCCGGTCAGGCAGGATGAAGACCCACACACGAGCCTGTGTCCTCCGGGTCGTCCCTTCTTCAAAAAGCAGAGCAAAGCAATACAACTTGAGGACTCCCTCCAAGATTTCCTAATTTTTGATTTACATTTAATCTCAGGAGGCTATTCCATTAAGAAACATTGTTATTAGAGTTAACATTGCTAGGTGCTGGGCCCCAGTCGGTACTAAGTGAGGCAGAAGCTTTCAATAATATCCACAGCCCTCAGCACCAAGAAGAACTTGGAGAGAATATTGGGCTTTATGAGAAAGGGGGAAAGAAATTAGAATTTCTGGCCGGGTGTGGTGGCTTACGCCTGTAATCCCAGCACTTTGGGAGGCTGAGGTGGGCGGATCACGAGGTCAGGAGATTGAGACCATCCTGGCCAACATGGTGAAACCCCGTCTCGACTAAAAAAAAAAAAAAAAAAAAAATAGCTGGGCGTGGTGGTGGGCACCTGTAGTCCCAGCTACTCGGGAGGCTGAGGCAGGACAATGGTGTGAACCCAGGAGGTGGAGCTTGCAGTGAGCCGCGATTGCACCACTGTACTCTAGCCTGGGTGACAGAGCGAGACTCTGTCTCAAAAAAAGAAAAAAAAAAATTAGAATTTCTTCCAAGAGAAGAGGCAGATAACCTTGGCCTAGTGTCTAAGACACAGGTCTTTCTTCTGTACTACACCAACACTACAGAATACAAACGCATACATATACATTTGCTACCATAGATTCTGTAACAGCCCCGTGCTCTCCAGGCAGAAGGTGGAGGCAGGTGGCCGCTGATTCTGAGGATCCCTGTGTGAACAGTGCCGTTAGCCCCAAGGGGAGCTGGCACCTGCTCAGGCTGTGCCAACTGGGATTTCTAAGCTCCTTTTCCCCTCACCACCGGGCTGAAACCTTTTCTGCCTCGCATATATCGACTATACTTAAATGGTACAGAAAGAACCATATTTGAAAAGTTACAGTAAATCACTGAAGGAGAAAGATAAAATACACCTCAAGGAGCCAAATGAGGTTTAGGGACATAAAGCAATTGGCAAGAACCAAACCAAATGTTGGCTATGCCACAGCTTTGGCAGAAACTTTCCTGGAGGTGATGAGGGGTTGAGGTGAGTTGCGATGTGCTTTATTTTGGAGCCAGATAAAATATTCTGGAAATCATTTCAGAAGGTCCTATGAAACACGCATTTACAAAAAAAAAAGACACACTTTGGTATTGAAACCAAGCGCTCACTGGCCGGGGTCGCCGAGATTAAGGCTTCAGGTGAGAACGCAGTGATGGCGACGTGGAGATGGCGCCATACCGGGCTTGAGGCTCTGCTTGGATGTCTCCTGCAGGCTCACACAGCTCCAGGACCACGGGGCAGGGAAGCCTGTGAGTGCAGCAGCTTCCCTAGGGGAGGTGGGCCACCTCGTACCACTGGGCAGCCTCGGCGTCTGCACCAGCTCCAGGAGACACTGCTGCTATGACACCACGCAGGTCTCCACGGGTGCTGCTGAGGCGACCACGAGCTCCACTCTTCTGCTCCTGGTGGTGGTCAGGGCTGGGGAAGGTCCGACATGATGCAGCCTGGCTAGCCCTTAGGAAAAAGAATGCCCACTGCTCCTACCAGTCCCACGCCGGAAGACCTGAACACAACTAAGCAGAAGAGCCCTGTCCTCCAGCCACGCCTGCCATCTGCCCTGACTCCTGCAGGTGCCCAGTCGAGGGAACAACCAACAGGTCACATAAGCAACAAGAACTTCCAAGAGGAAACGGATACAAAACCAAAGAAAGGGGTAGCCCCACTGCTGATCATCTAGATACAAAATAATGAAAAGTTAATACAAAACTCTTTAAACATGCAACTCTTTTTAAAAACAACGATCCATACTCTGAATACGTATCAGGGCAGCTTAAAGACGACGCTGCCACATACCCGCAGTCTGTTCCCTGGAAATGGCGTGAAAGTGGAGGGTGGCACATGATGTGAGAGACGTGGCTTCCGCCAGAGAAGTCCCGGACAGCTGCAAGCGCTGGCTAAGAAGGTCTCTGGGGGCCAATCTTTCCAGGGTCACGGCCAGCACGCTGATGTCATGGCTGATAACATGACCCTCGATCACCCCTCAAAAGGAACCCATATGTTAAAAAGGGGAGGGGGGAGGGGAAATCATGGAGAAGGAGATGGAAATCACTTTTACGATTTTTGTGACTTGGTGGAAATACATCCTCTGAGGAGGGGGAAAATTGGGTGGAGCTGGGAACAGAAGTTTTATTTACAAGATCTCCTGAATTATTAACAGACCTTAAAAATTCCAAATGTAAAACTTCTGTTATCAAATCACTGAAAATAGCATCTATATCTGGTTCTACCAAAAAAGAAAAAATCTGCAATATTGACCAGTTTCCAAATGATTAAGAAAAGAGTGTCAAGAAACCAGGAAAATACATAGGAAAAGGTGGCCCTTTTTATCCTCCTCCACCACACCACTTTGGAAAACATTTTAGGGTTCTTCATTGCATTTTTCTAATACATTTTACCAATTGTCCAGAAAATCAAATCCCGTCTTCAAGACGACATTACTTGAGCTGACCTGTAGAAGGGACAAAAACATGGAAGACAGACGTGAGCCTTTTTTTTTCAGTTATGCATAATCTAAAAACAGCATCTCATTTAAAACGACACAGATAAAAGAGCCTACTTCTGTCTCAGAGGTTCCCTGACCTCCATTTATCTCAGTGCTTGAAATCAGAAGATTAAATAAAGTTCAATGCAATCTACGCTCTGCCGACAACCAACACTAACCCCTCTTCAACCCCAGGCGCGTCTGGGAGCAGCTTACAGACCTTACGGAGAAAAGAACAATGTCTCTGTGTTTTTCTATAAATCTTTTATGTTTCTGAATGACAGCCATGTTTAAATGTATTCATCCTAAATAAGAGAACAATTAATAAAAATATTCCTTCAAATATAAAACAAACATCACACGCAAACACAACAGAAAAGAACTTGCAAAGCTGAGAAAGTAAACAAAGCACGGAAAGAATGTGAAGCTTATTTCTTTCAGATCTTGTGAAAGGTTATGAGGTGATTTTCCCAAACTCCAGGATCAGCCTCCGGGGCTCAAGTGATCCTCTCGCCTCGGCCTCCCACATAGCTGGGACTACAGGCATGCACCAGGTGTGCACCACAAGGCCTGGTTTAATTTCATTCTTCTTTCAGGGGAAAGGGCTTGACTGACAGGTCCCCTCTTGTGAGCACAGGCTGTCTCAAGCTGCTGCTGTTTTCATAAACCTTCTGACTGGCTTCCACTCAGCAGCCCATTTCCAATGTCCCTTTCCTCCAGCCTAACACCGGCAGACATTTACCTGGTGCGCTGAGGTCCTCTTGAGCAAAGAAACCTTGACTCTCCGCCCTCCAAGCGGCCGGCAGGCAGAAAATGCATACATGGCGGCAAGAGCAGGCAATGGCCTAAGGGGCTTGCCCTTGACACCTGTCTCAGGCCCAGTTTGGCTGCATGTGAGACTGGTGCAGAGTGAGGCAAAACATGCAGAATGGAAGAGGTGCAATCCAGTTTTCCTTATTCTGGTTTCCTTCCAGTTTCTTAAATGCAGTGGCATTTCACTGTGCTTTACTCTCAGAAATCTGTTCTCTCAAAGGAATTTCATGTGCTGTCTCCTACTCTCCACTGCCCACACAGAAACACGTTCCTGCTTCTCTTTAGAGTAGGGACTATCACCTATTTTATGGAAATACGTCCTTCAGAGGAAGCCCCCAGTGCAGAGTCTCAGAGAAGAGTGCTGGTTAGGGAGGCAGCGAACACAGCCTGTCTGTAAGGAAGAGCTGATGGGCAGGAGGATGTAGACAGAAAACAGAACGGAGAGATGGGCAGGTACCGGAGGAGGCAGGAAACGAGAGGGCTGAAAGCACTGGCTTAAGAAGGTGCAGAAACATGAAGAGGAGCACAGGTTGGAGCGCTGATGGGGAGCCGAGGTGGGGAGAAGGTACTAGCACTGCTGGATCCTCCCTCCTCAGGAGGACAGCACGTGCAGCCATCTGCCGAGGGAGGCATGGAAGCACTGGAAACCCGCTCTGGGTGACATTCAACGTTATCAGTGATGATCTCAACTCAACAACAAAATAACCAAAAATTTAAAAATGGGCAAGGGACCATTGGACATTTCTCCAAAGAAGAGACACAGATGGCCAATCAGCACATGAAATGAGGCTCAACACCACTCATGATCAGGGACAGGCAAGTCTAAACCACAGCGAGACACCACCTCAAACCCCTTCGCATGGCGCTAGCAAACACACAGAAAATAACAAGTTTGCAAGGGAGTGGAGAAACTCGAACCCATGTTGATGGGAATGTAAAATGATGCAGCTGCTGTGGCGAATAGGATGCATGTTCTTCAAAAAAGTGGAAATAGAACCACCATGTGATCCAGCAATTCCACATCTGGGTATGCACCCAGGAGAAGGGAAAGCGGGGGCTGGAAGACATATTCGTACATACACGTTCACAGCAGCAGTATTCCTAACAGACCACAATAGCCAACCTAAGCGTCTGTCGACGGATGGGTGGATACACAAAATGTGGTCTAAGCACACAATGGAATATTGGCCTTAGAAGGAAATTCTACACATGCTACAAAATTAATGAACCTTGAAGACACCACACTAAGTAAAATAAGTCAGTCACGAAAGGGTAAATACTATATGGTGTTACTTATATGAGGTACCTAGAGGAGTCAAATTCACAGAAACAGAAAGTGGAATGGCGCTTGCCAGGAGCTTGCGGGGAGGGAGGAACGGGATGTTGGTGTTGAAAGGGTCCAGAGCTTTAGTTGTGCAGGCTGAAAGGAGTTCTGGAGATGCATGGTAGTGATGGTTACACAGCATTGAGAACGTACTCAAATGCCACCAAATTTATACTGTAAAATGGTTAAAATGGTAAATTTTATCATAATAATATTTTACATTAATATTTTATCATAATATTTTATCATAATAAAAAAACTTTTAAAATTCAGTATGTGGAACCAGCCCAAATGCCCACCAATCAATGAGTGGATAAAGACACTGTGGTATATATATATGATGGAATACTACTCAGTCATAAAAAGGAATGAATTAATGGCATTTGCAGCAACCTGGATGGGATTGGAGACTATTGTTCTAATCATAAGTGAAGTAACTTAGGAATGGAAAACCAAACATCATATGCTCTCACTCATAAGTGGGAACTAAGCTATGAGGATGCGAAGGCAAAGGAATGACACAATGGACTTTGGGGACTCAGGGGGAAAAGGTGGGAGAAGGGTGTGGGATAAAAGACTACAAACTGGGTTCAGTGTACACTGCTTGGGTGATGGGTGCACCAAAATCTCACAAATCACTACTAAAAAACTTATGTAACCAAATACCACTTGTTCCCCAAAAACCTATGGAAATAAAAAATTTAAAAAAAAAAAGAACAGCGACCACAAGAACCAAGGAGTCTCAAGGGCCACAGGAGGCCGGGTGTGGCTAACATAGAGGAAACTGCATCCTGGGCTCACTCCTCAGCAAGGCAGCCAGGAGTCCAGCAAGGCCCACAGAGGGGCAAGACTCAGTGTGGCCTCCTAAGTGTGCCTGCCTGCCGTGCCAGCAGGCAGCTCCCCTGGCCCAAATCCAGACCAATCCTAAAGAACAGACCATTGCCTCTATGGATAGCTCCCCAAAAGAAGGCCTAACACAGCCTTGAGCTGTGACAGCCCTGGGCGTAGCGCCTTCCGGGGGCCTCTTCTGATAGCAGCCCCCACACCCGGGAAAGCGCAGTGGGCCACAGAATCCACTAACTGGCACACAAATCAGGGCGCCCAGATCGACTCGCAAAACTTGTCTTGTTGCCTATGTGTTGGTGGTTCAGCACGCTGAGCCTAGGCATCCTCTGAGGAAGAGGCAGGGGAAGGAGGAAGGAGGGGGGAGAGGAAAAAGAGCATGGGCACCTGTGGCCTGCCTGCTTTGTGGGGGACCCTCTCAGTCCCCATGGAAGAAGGTATAACCCTGCCTGAGAACACGTTGGTGCAGGCCACTCACCTGTGCAAACTTGGGTTCCAAGAACAGGGTGTCTTCCCCGTCGTCCTGCCTGATGTCAGGAGACGGCAGCTTCCCCTCGAGCTGGGAGGGGGCGGCCTCCTGCAGCGTGCTGCCGAAGGCCTGGACGGGCTGGGCTCTCTCGCGTTCGGTGCTCACGTTGGGAAGGGGACGCTGCTCCTGACGGAGGGTGCTGGGCCTTTCCATCTTGGCCTCCCTGTCCTTCGGGGCAGGTTCCTGCCGGTAGCAGGGAGGCAAGACCTTCTCCCCCTTCTCCATGGACTTGATCTGGCTAGGGGTCAGCGACTGGAACTCGGCCTCAGGCCCCTCCCCTCGGGACCTCTCGGCATTGATCTTCCAGAAGGATGCTTCCTCCTCCTTCCTGGCGGGGCCCAGGGCGTCCAGGCTGGAGGACCTGCTGCCTTGGGAGGACTTGAGGGCCTGGGAGCCCTGGGAAGCTTTGGACAGGGGTCTGGGCTCGCTGGCGGTGGTGCCGTTGCTCGGCTCCTGGATGGATAGGGCGGAGATACTGAACTCCATCTGACTCTACGGTGGGATGTGAGAAAGGAGAGAAAAAAGAAAGTGATACTGAGAATCGACCATTACAGGTGTGCCAGCCCACGTACCCCCTCCTCAGCATGCGGACGCATGCCAGCCACACACGAGTTGTTGCCCATGTGCTGGAACTGTCTGTCCTGAGTGGTGGGTATGGTCAGGACTTCCATTGCACACCTGAAATGCATCAGAAGCTTAAATGCCAAGGCCGGATGACAGAGTGTGGGTGGGGGTCCCCTCCCAAATCTCATGTTGAACTGTAATCCCCAGTGCTGGAGGTGGGGCCTGGTGGGAGGTGTCTGGATCATGGGGTCGATGCTGTCTTCATGATAGTGAGTTCCCATGAGATCTGGTCATTTAAAAGAGTGTGGCACCTCCCCCTGCCTCTCTCCCTCTTGCTTCTGCTCTACCATTTGAGATACCTGCTCTCCTCTGCCTTCCACCATGAGCCACAGCCCCCTGAGGCCTCCCCAGAAGCCAAGCAGATGCCGAGGCCATGTTTCCTGTGCAGCCCACAGAACTGTGAGCCAATTAAACCTCTTCTCTTTATCAACTACCCAGTCTCAGGCATTTCTTCAAAGCAACACAAGAACACACTAATACACTCCCTCATGCACTATGCTACATGCAGCTCAAGGCATCTGAGTATTACCGATGAGTAAGGGCTCTCTGCTTGGTAAACAGGGCACCCGCCTGTCTCCTCCAGCGTGGTTCTAGCACCTTCCTGGCAGGTGACGACCCTCACTGCGAGGATTATGAGGAAAGGTGCACACTGCAACAAAAGGCCACTCCGCAGCCAGGGTCAGAACCTAGCCTCAGATCACAAACACTCAGAGGGCAGGGCCCAGCACCCATCACAGCCCATGCCCCACATCTGAGCACCCACAAAATGCTTTCCATGATCTGGATGCTGCTAACCACAGTGATCTCTAAAAATGATACTGCTGAGCTGTTTTGACCACCAAAATCATTACACGGCAACCTAAACCACCTCTTCGGAGTAGAATGTTGTCTTCCAAGCTCTGCAGAACAAGCCATTTGTAATCTCAATTATTTCTAAAATCAGTTTTGAAGACTTCTCTCTTCCCTCACCATTTCTGCTCCCTCATACTTCCCTGCCTCTTTCTAAAATAAATTAATATGCCAGATGTGGTGGCTCACGCCTGTAATCCTAGCACTTTGGGAAGTTAAGGATAGAAAATCGCTTGTGTCTAGTTCAAGACCAGCCTAGGCAACAAGTGAGACCCCTTCTCTACTAAAAATTTTTTTAAAACATTGCCAGCCATGGTGACACATGCCTGTGGTCCCCAGCTACTCAGTCGGCTGAGGTGGGAGGATTGCTTGAGCCTGGGAGGCCAAGGCTGCAGTGAGCCACAATTGCACCACTGCATTCCAGCCTGGGCAACAGAGCAAGATCCTGTCTCAAAAAATATATTAAAAATAGGCCGGGCACGGTATGGCTCACGCCTGTAATCCCAGCACTTAGGGAGGCCGAGGCGGGTGGGTCATCTGAGGTCAGGAGTTCAAGACCAGCCTGACCAACATGAAGAAACCCCGTCTCTACTAAAAATACAAAATTAGCCAGGCGTGGTGGCGCATGCCTGTAATCCCAGCTACTCAGGAAGGCTGAGGCAGGAGAATCGCTTGAACCCAGGAGGCAGAGGTTGTGGTGAGCCAAGATTGCGCCATTGCACTCCAGCCTGTGCAACAAGAGTGAAACTCCATCTCAAATAAAAAAAAAAAAAAGAAAGAAAAAAGAAAATATATACTAAAAATAAATAAATAAAAGTAATAAAACTACATGACAAAAAGTTTGGGAAATAGAAAAAAGAAGAAGAATCAGTCACAATCCTTCCCTCCTCCCATAATCACTACTGCTTTTTGTTATTTCTATGTAACCATTTTCATATATGTGTTTTATGAGGCTGTAGTTCTGCTGGGCATGTGATTTGGGGTATTGCTTTTCCACTTAATCATAAGCATCATCAATGTTGTTTATAGTCATTATAACCATTATTTTTAATGGCTGTAAAAATATTTCAGTAGCTGTCACACCACCTACTTAACCATTTTCTTATTATCAGACAATTTGCTATTTCTAGGCCTTATTGTTATAATTAAGGTTGCCATAAACATCTTCATGCATATAATCTCTTCTTCATTTTGGGTTAATTTTTTAGACAGATTTCTAGAAGTGAAATATCAAAATACAAACAATTTAAACCTTTCCTTTTTATGGTTTTGGATGCATACTATCAAATCTGCTTTCTAGCAGCTGCCCCAATTTCTAATGCCACCAGATGTACATCACAGTAGCATTTTCAGTCACTGAGTATAATAATTTGAAACTGCCTGTGCTAACTTAAGATACACAACATGGTTCTTCGTGCCTTTCATGCACAGTCTTTCACATAATCAATGGTCTGTTCAGTTCTTTAAGTCTCTGCAGACAGCAGCACTCTCCCAGGATTCTCGCCAACAGGCAGGGGCGTATTTGTCAGGGCAAGGATGGAAATACTGCTTTTCCTGTGTGAACTGCAGGCCCTGAACAGAGAGAGCTGCACACGCTCTCTTGAGTCTGAGACTTCTAAAAGCCCAGCTTCCGACGGCCAGACGTCTTCCCTCCAGGCTTGGGAGATGAGATCATGAGGTCATGAAGAATTCAACTTTAAAACGCAAGCCTAGGCTGCCCTGAAGCTCAATGTTATTGGAAAGAAAACCCAAGGGCCAGGCGCGGTGGCTCACGCCTGTAATCCCAGCACTTTGGGAGGCCGAGGCAGGCAGATCACGAGGTCAGAAGTTTGAGACCAGTCTGACCAACATGGTGAAACCCTGTCTCTACTAAAAATACAAAAATTAGGCGGGCATGGTGATGCACGCCTGTAATCCCAGCCACTCAGGAGACTGAGGCAGGAGAATCGCTTGAACTCAGGAGGCAGAGGTTGCAGTGAGCCAAGACCGTGCCACTGCACTCCAACCTGGGCGACAGCCATCAAAGCACTGGTTCTTCCAGGAGCTCTGGTTAAAGACAATGTAGATTACTCAGTGTGCCTGATGTGTCAGGAATGTTGTTTCTAAATTATTATTATTTTCATTCTACAAATGAGAAAATGGAGAATTGTCCTAGGTCACCAGCCCAATAGGAGATTGGCAGCTGGGATTTCAACCTGGATCGAGAGATTCCAAGCCTGAATCCATGGCTGGGCATCCTGCATTACAAAATAACACCAGGTACGACACCCATGGAAGCCACCAGGAGCAGTGGACACAGTAGGATTTCTTTATGTATGTGTGTGATCTAATTTGATTTTAAAGGACTGTTTCTGAGTGATGCATTCTGAATACTCTGCGTATTTCCAAATTCCACAACAGAATACAGAAAGACTGTGGGATAGAGATGACGGTTTCTTGAAATAGGCGAATCACTAAAAATGGCTCAGAAGTGGGGCCCAGCTCAGGGGACAGAGTTGACTTTGATCTGGAAATTGTAGTGTAAGGACGGCACTTAAAACTGAGCACTTCATCAAACCCCAGGCTTTTTTAGGATCAGCAATTTCTCCCATGGGTGTCTTTGCTCAGAAGCCTCTAGAAGGTGACACAGAACTTCCTGTGTACGTGGAGGGCAGCAGTGGGCAGAGCCAGGGATGCTGGGGGGAGACGCCCATCACAGTGGTTCCTGGGCTGCTGCAGGGGTGCTGCGGGAAGGGAACCAGGCAGCACTTAGCTGGGTGTGACCTCCTCAAACAGAATGACAGAGGTTGCTCCCATCCCTGCTTGGGTAACAGGAGACCTGGAAACCTGGCAACAGCTCTTCAGAGGAGGGTGTCATCTGGCTAGAGGAGACGGCTTTGCTGGCAGAAGCAGCTACCTAGTTTAGGGGGTCTGGAGGTGACTATGGGGAAGACAAGAACTTAGAGAAGAAAAAAGTTCCAATGCATTTGCTTCTAAGTCTTTTTCCCTATGTATGTGTATGCTGTTCATAATTTTGCAAATAACGTATAACCACAATCTCCTTTAACAAAACAGCCCTGATGATCTCATGAAGACAGGGAGTAGAAGAAACAGATACTGCAGGCTAGGAAGGGTGTGTGGGTAGGAAGGGGATGAAGAGAGGTTGGTTAAGGAGATAGAAGGAGTAAGCGTTTGCTCTAGTGTTCAATAGCAGAGAGGGGTGACTATAGTGAAGTGTGCTGTGTATTTTGAAATAGCTATAAGAGAGAATGTAAAATGCTCCCAACACATAGAAATGATAAATACTCGAAGTGATGGATGCCCCAAGTACCCCAACGTGAACATACAGTCTATGATTTCACGAAATATCACATGTACCCCATCGATATTTCAAACAACTATATATAAAAAAAAAAAACCTGCCCTCATCCATCACCCTGCTGGGTGCTAGGCCTCTTCCCCACTGCTTTCCCCAAAGGAAACGGGTTTGTCATCTAGAATTTCTAGACACAAACCTCTTGGGGTAGGGGAAGAATCTTTTTTCCTGTCTAGATCAACTCTGCTCAGCTCTAAAAACTCCAGGAACTATAATAAAAACAGACTCCAGCAGGGCCAGGTGGGGGCCCCGGGGAGATGAAGCCCATCTCTCAGGTACTGCAGCCCATCCCGCCCAGGGACCTCATTCTACCCGGGCGGGACCTGTCCTGGTGTCTGTGCACGCAGCACCAGGACAGAGCGAAAAGTGGCTCCAAGCTCATTTTCAAAGACACACCGACATGCAGGCCACAGGAAGGCAGAGCCCCTTTTGCCATTTCAAAGTAAGTTTTAGTGCTTTTTGTTTCGGTGACTCCACACTGTTGGCCGTTCCCCGTCTTCCAGTCCAGGGCACGTCCTAGACTTTCCTAGAACAAAAATCCGTTTTCTACAGGTGTGGAAAGAGCTAGGCTCTTGAGAAAGGAGGTCATGTCAGCCCTCTCCCACGGCACTGAGCAACAGGGAGCCAGGGCTGGCGGGAGGATAAGGCTCATGAAGGGGAGGAA